GATGTGTGTGGTAGGTTGGATGGTAATGTGAGTGGTGGGTTGGATGGTAATGTGAGTGGTGGGTTGGATGGTGATGTGAGTGGTAGGTTGCATGGTGGTGTGTGTGGTAGACTGGATGGTTATGGGAATGGTAGGTTGGATGGTGTTGTGAGTTCTAGACAAACAGGATCCCGTCAATTTTACCTCCCACTAAGGGGTATCAATCATTAGGACTTCCGACAAAAGGGCCCTTCTCAATTCGGTTACCGTAGAAATAATTAGTCTCCCGGAGAAATAGCCTCATTTAATATGTAAAACATATTCAATAAATATGCTGCATTACGATAAACATTATTATATGTTCCGTGCATAGAGCAATGTAAGGGAGGAAACTGAGAAAATTTAGTGGCTGCTAGAAAAACGAGATTAGGTTAACCGTTGTAAGGGAAGCAATAAAAAAATTGTCTTGCTCAGTGTAAGGAAGCAACAGTAACATCCAGTTGCGTCTTGTAAGGGAGATAACTTGCAAAAATTCTGTGAGTAGAAGGAACGACAGTAGAATTAAATAGCTAGAATACAGATTACAGAATGTATATCTACAGTTTTTTTTTGGCTTAGTTTTATCGACTTTTCCCTGCAATAAATAGTCACTAGAATAAAAATAGAAACATAAAAATTAACAACACAGAATTAGTAAAAACATTGAGATTTTAATGTCGTTTTAGGTACTTCAAACGTTTGTGTTTAGAATAAAGGTATTATGTTTTTTGCCATTTGTATTGTCAAAACCGGAAACAAAAAAAAACATCATTATTATAGACCAGGGGTCGGCAACCTGCGGCTCGCGAGCCGCATGCGGCTCTTTTGATGTCAAGATGCGGCTCTTCAGCTCCATGCACAAATATTAATAATTATTTTAATTTGTTTTTAAAACTCATAAAAATATTAGTCTACAATACTCGGTAATTTAAGATATAGATCTAATAACCATGTAAAGTTTCTAATTTCGAGCAGAGCTTGCTAAACTACATTAATATGTTTTGTACAAAACATGTGTATGTTTATATATATATATATATATATATATATATATATATATATATATATATATATATATATATATATATATATATATATACCTAATCAAATATCATAATATTGAAATAAAAATGTTTGTGGCTCTTTAAAAACTGTGAAATGTGGTAAATTGTAACTTTCGGCTCTTCCGTCCCAAAAGGTTGCCGACCTCTGTTACAGACTGCCCCACCATTCAGACTATGAAGAAAACCTTAGAAACTAAACTAACGACTAGAAAACAGACCCTTAACATTAATATAGCTATTAGATTAAACAAAATACCAATACAGAAAGACAGGACTGCATTGGAGCGGAAAGTAAGGACGGTAGCCAGAAATTATTTAGAACTGTAGAAATAGTGCAAAATATAATGAGGCAGAGTTGACTAGATAGACCTTAGACCCGAGCTTTAGCAGACGTCTTGGCAAGGAAAACACAATAACACACGCTATAAATAGAGCAACACAATAGTTATGTCGCGCAACATCGCTTCTGATGCCTGTTCCGCCAATCCCCACCCCCTTCCAACTTATGACCCAACCCCACCGCTAGCATCAAATCGACTTTTGTTTCCTTTTTTACTTTCTCGTATATACGAAGTATAGAGAATAACGTGAAATTTTGACAGTTTTCACCGTTTTACTCCTCAGTCCTTCATCATTTAAATGCGTGGAATTTCACACGTAAGTAAACGATCTAATTCTCTACCTTCTGTCAAATTTTGAGTTATTTCCGTTGACCGGAAGTACTAATTTACGCTATTTCCGATCTCTCAAAAAACGCATGTAAATTTATAAAGTACTAATAATATCCCGCACTTTTATACACATTTTATTAGGCGTTCACTTGGTGTGGGACGGAGTGGTCTAGCGGTAGACAGCTGGACTGCTAACCCGTTAGATTCGAGTTTGAAGTCAGTAGACCGTCCCTGAGTCCACTCAACTCTGATGGGTACCTAACTCCTGTTAGGGAAAGTAAAGGCGGCTGGGCATAGTGCTGACCACACGATCTCTTCATATGTCGAGGTCACAGAAACAAGTGAACTCTACTTCACTTGCCCAATAGACGGTCAGGTTTGAAAGGGAAACTTTTCACTTGGTGTGCAATTCTTTTTTTTAAGAGATTCTATTCTATTATAAAAAGTTTGAGTAATTAAAAATGGATAACAAATATTGTCTATGTCCTGAGTTGCCATCCCTCGTAATTTTATATTAGAATATTCGAGAAAGTTTAGGGGAGATCACTCCCGGTTTATTTTATATATCATACATTACAGCTTCACGCCTGCCGCCCCACCCCACACTCGTCACGCAACCTATAAACATTGTAGTGATACAAACCATTGAACCTGAACATTCACATACCCCCACCCCCACCCCCATTCACTATTTAGTTTCCCAGGATACCCCACGGTACACCCCCCCCCCCCACCTTTTAACAAAGTTAAACTCAGACAATTGAACAAAAAACCACCCTGGAAACAACCCAGTATGACAGGTGTTCACGACTACCCTCCGTAATCCGTTACAAATCTTACAAGATGAAAACAGTAAAGACGTAATTCATTGACCACCCGTATGTTCCCTCAGATTCAAAATAAAAGTATTTAAAAATAAATGCTTCGAACAATAATTAATAAAACTCAATATAGGGCTAAGTAATCGGGGATATAATAAAAAATATTACAATTTAAAAGAAAGATTGACTATTATGATTTGATTTTTTAACCGAATAAAATAAAGGGGAAATAATGAGCTAGGACATTATGAAAATGTTTTTTAACCGGTTAATGCCCTTGTTAAAATAAATCTACAAAAGATTACAAAGTAAACGATCTTCTGCTTTCTTGCTATACATAATTTTGTTCTATTCATACAGAGCTAGCATTGATATTTATATTTTGTTTCACCCAAATTTTAAAATAAGATAATAAATTATTAATTTAGCTATTTATACGTTTTCTACGATTCTTTAATATTCGTGGATCTCTATTTTGTAAGTGTGGTTCAAGCGCGCACGAACGCGCACACGGAAACGCACATAGACACACACACACACGCACTCATACACACACAGTTATATAGATTTAATAAGTATATATTTTCATATACCAGTAGCATGACCCCAGTAACATGACCCCAGTAAAATGTCCCAAGTAACATGACCCCAGTAACATGACCCAAGTAACATGTCCCAAGTAATTTGTCTCCAGTAGCATGTCCCAAGTAGCATGACCCCAGTACCATGAACCCAGTAAAATGTCCCCAGTAACATGTCCCAAGTAATTTGTCTCCAGTAGCATGTCCCAAGTAGCATGACCCCAGTAACATGACCCCAGTAACATGACCCAAGTAGCATGACCCCAGTAACATGACCCCAGTAACATGTCCCCAGTAACATGATCCCAGTAACATGACCCCAGTAACATGATCCAAGTAACATGACCCCAGTAACATGACCCCAGTAACATTATCCCAGAAACATGACCCCAGTAACATGACCCAAGTAGCATGACCCAAGTAGCATGACCCCAGTAACATGACCCCAGTAACATGATCCCAGTAACATGACCCCAGTAACATGACCCCAGTAACATGACCCCAGTAACATGATCCAAGTAACATGACCCCAGTAACATGACCCAAGTAGCATGACCCCAGTAACATGATCCAAGTAACATGACCCCAGTAACATGACCCAAGTAGCATGACCCCAGTAACATGACCCCAGTAACATGATCCAAGTAACATGACCCCAGTAACATGACCCCAGTAACATGACCCCAGTAACATGTCCCCAGTAACATGACCCCAGTTACATGACCCAAGTAACATGACCCCAGTAACATGACCCCAGTAACATGACCCCAGAAACATGACCCCAGTAACATGACCCAAGTAGCATGACCCAAGTAGCATGACCCCAGTAACATGACCCCAGTAACATGATCCCAGTAACATGACCCCAGTAACATGTCCCCAGTAAAATGTCCCCAGTAACATGACCCCAGTTACATGTCCCCAGTAACATGTCCCAAGTAACATGACCCCAGTAACATGACCCCAGTAACATGACCCCAGTAACATGACCCCTGTAAGATGTCCCCAGTAACATGACCCCAGTTACATGACCCAAGTAACATGACCCCAGTTACATGACCCAAGTAACATGACCCCAGTAACATGACCCCAGTAACATGACCCCAGTAACATGATCCCAGTAACATGACCCCAGTAACATGACCCCAGTAACATGTCCCCAGTAACATGTCCCCAGTAACATGTCCCCAGTAACTTGTCACCGATAACAAATCCATAATGTTCGAAGTGAAGCGTTCGATCAAAAGATCTAAAAAAAGCTTTACAACTAACCCACAACCTATAACAGTTTTACTATTTAAAACGCCAGCATCAGTTCATTAAAGATGCAGTCTAGTTTCCGCAGTCTAACACAGAATTAGCATCTAGAAATAATCAGAGCGTGACGGCCACTCACACAAAACCGATCGCGTGTGAAGTATACGTCACTGTGCTGCAAGGCTCAGGCCCCGGCCACTTGCCAGTGTGCAATATGAGCCGCCATTATCTGGCTCACAATGGCCCGGCGCCTCCCACTGGTCTGTCGATTCCACCAGATGTCGCCCCGTTCTCTCTGAGCCCCACCCCTGCGTCCCCACCCCTGCGACCCCACCCCTGCGTCCCCACCCCTGCGACCCCACCCCTGCAGTGATGTCACAGCATGACTCAAGCGAACGTGGATTAAGTAAATACTGAAGAAATTAATTTAACAGCTGCATGCTACCCGCAGTAATCCAACAAGAGAATTATATCTTTAATATATCGTTACGACCAGACATCCATTGATACACCCCAACTAAAGTGACAACCCAAAAAAATAGTATAGTATAGGTTTAATTGACATGGGGGGGGGGGGCGGGGTTGTGTTCAATGTTTAGGTGCATGTGTGGGGAGTATATGTGGGGAGGATGTGTGGGGAGGATGTGTGGAGAGGATGTGTGGGGAGTATATGTGGGTGGATGTGTGGGGAGGATGTGTGGGGTGGATGTGTGGGGAGGATGTGTGGGGAGGATGTGTGGAGAGGATGTGTGGGGAGTATATGTGGGTGGATGTGTGGGGAGGATGTGTGGGGTGGATGTGTGGGGAGGATGTGTGGGGAGGATGTGTGGAGAGGATGTGTGGAGAGGATGTGTGGAGAGGATGTGTGGAGAGGATGTGTGGGGTGGATGTGTGGGGAGGATGTGTGGGGAGGATGTGTGGAGAGGATGTGTGGGGAGTATATGTGGGGTGGATGTGTGGGGAGGATGTGCGGGGAGGATGTGTGGAGAGGATGTGTGGGGAGAATGTGTGGGAAGAATGTGTGGGGAGGATGTGTGGGGAGGATGTGTGGAGAGGATGTGTGGGGAGGATGTGTGGGGAGGATGTGTGGGGAGGATGTGTGGGGTGGATGTGTGGGGAGGATGTGTGGGGTGGATGTGTGGGGAGGATGTGTGGAGAGGATATGTGGGGAGGATGTGTGGGGAGGATGTGTGGGGAGGATGTGTGGGGAGGATGTGTGGGGAGGATGTGTGGGAAGGATGTGTGGGGAGGATGTGTGGGGTGGATGTGTGGGGAGGATGTGTGGAGAGGATGTGTGGGGAGGATGTGTGGAGAGGATGTGTGGGGAGGATGTGTGGGGTGGATGTGTGGGGAGGATGTGTGGGGAGGATGTGTGGGGAGGATGTGTGGGGAGGATGTGTGGGGAGGATGTGTGGGGAGGATGTGTGGAGAGGATGTGTGGGGAGGATGTGTGGGGAGGATGTGTGGGGAGGATGTGTGGGGTGGATGTGTGGGGAGGGCTAAACTTTTCTCCGTTGTTCCGCTTCGCAAGGGAGAGTATGTAACGTTGCTTATAGCAGTTAGTAAACTAATAACAGTAACAAAATAATACGTTTTTGTTATAGGCCTATGTATGGTCATTTTTGGGGTGCATTGTGGGTGGGGTGGAGGGCGATACGTCTGGGGATGGGGTAATAACAATTTGCAAGGCGTCAATAGTGTACGACTGTGTTCAGGAAAGTAAACAGTCTGAAACCACAACAGACATATGTCAATGACCCAGTGGTCAAACATCCAACATGACATATGCCCATCATCCATCAGATCTTCTGTCCCCAAGGGCCTACAGTCGAACAACCAAATTGACATATAGTACCAGATCTAGTTTGTACAAATACCCCCGCAGTCTAAAACAGAAACCAACCAGACCTCTAGTCTCCTCAATGAAAACATAAACAAAGAAATGACTCACAAACTATAGAAATCAATGACCCTAGGGCGCCACGCATTGATATCAGAAACTTCTATTTTTTTACTGCAAGGACTAATTAACAGATTATTTTTTTACATTACTCACTTGCCGGTATCGATTATGTCACGAGACCGATGATTGAATACTAAACCACTTTACATAATAATAACACAGTTGTTGCCCTTTCCGCGGGTTTGGTAAAAAAAATCCTTTGTTCTTTTGTTCGAATTAAACATACTCGAGGATTAGCCCACGACGGAAGTTAACAACAGGATGTTTACAAATCAAAACCGTTGTTGCCAGATTTTTTATTCCTAAAACTTTAGATTTTAGTAACATGTTTGGGGAAGGAATATTATGATGTAAATAATGCAAAGGAAATATTGATTGTTAGTACAATATATATATATATATATATATATATATATATATATATATATATATATATATATATATATATATATATATATATATATATATAACTTTAATTTATATGTATGTACATATTACTTATACACATGAACTTATACAGCAACCTTGGTCACGTGACGTGACTTCTGCCCATCTACGTTATCCTCTACGGTCGATGCCGGAGTTATACGACCTCTCGACCTAGTTAGTCGCTAGCGTGATGGTTGGTTGCATGTCTGAGTGGGTGGAGGACTGTGCTCAGTCATGCGTGGCTTGCTCCCAGTAGTCTAGAGCGTGTCTGGTGAGCAGGGATGAGGCTTCACACCAGGGGTGGGGTAGAAGTAGGGCTGGGTGTGTGGGTGGGTCTATTGTGGGTGGATGTGTGGGTGGATGTGTGGGTGATTTGGGTAGAGGTGGGGCTGGGTGTGTGGGTGGATGTATGGGTGGATGTGTGGGTGGTTTGGGTAGAGGTGAAGCTGGATGTGTGGGTGGGTGGATCTATTGTGGGTGGATGTGTAGGAGGATCTATTGTGGGTGGATGTGTGAGTGGATGAGTGGGTGGTGTGTGTGTGTGTGTGTGAATCTATGGGTGGATGAATGTGTGGGTGTGTGGGTAGAGGGGGGGGCTGGATGTGTGGGTGGATCTATTATGGGTGGATGTGTGGATGTGTGAATGGGTGTGTGAGTGGATATGTGGGTGGATGAGTGGGTGGATATGTTTGTGGATCTATGCTATGGTAGGAGGTATGGTTGGATCTATAGGTAGAGGTGTGGGAAGATGTGTAGGTAGAGGAGTGGGTGGATGTGTGGGTGGTGTAGTGGGTGGATGTGTGGGTGGATGTGTTAGTGGATGTTAATCAGAAAATGCATGTGTAAATTTATATATGCACTTGCTGAACTTCTAATAACGTTTTTAACTGCTGGTGGTATTTCAGAGATTCCAGAAATCTGAAGTCACCACACCCAGATTCTCTAGAGTGGCTGTAGGGACGTCGGTTGCGATCTCTCTTATTAAATTGGCTGTACTTTGTGACACATGCCTTTATTTAGCCGATGGACAGCTTTATATACGTTATCCATTACTTCATTTATTCATTCATTCTTACAATTTATCATGAATTCATTAGTTAATCATTTATTCTTTCATACATATATACACTTCGTTTATCTCTAACATCCACTCACAAACAGTGCTTATAGCTAATACAACTAATTATTGCACGTTGTGTATTGCTGCAACTAGCCTCATTAGCTGGGCTAATCATCACCGCTTGCTGGAGTCGACCTCTACAGACTCAGTGATTGTTATTTTCTTTTGTGTAACAAAGTTCCATTTTTTATAACATTGTATTTTGTTATTAGAGATGAGCAAAATACTTTGTTTAGTAAAGTTGAACAATGTATTTTGTTGATATTTTAGTTGAACATTGTATTTTGTTGATATTAGAGTTGAACACTATATTTGTTAATAGTAAAGTTGAACACTCTATTTTGTTATTAAAGTTGAACACTATATTTTGTTGATAGTAAACTTGAATACTATATTTTGTTATTAGAGTTAAACATTGTGTTTTGTTGATAGAAAAATTGAACATTGTATTTTCTTGATAGTAAAGTTAAACATTGTATTCTATTGATAGTAAAGTTGAAAACTGTATTTAGTTGATAGTAGAGTTGAAAACTGTATTTTGTTGATAATAATGTTGAACACTGCATTTTGTTAATGGTAAAGTTGAACACTGTATTTTGTTGATAGTAAAGTTGAACACTGTATATTGTTGATAGTAAAGTTGAACACTATATTTTGTTATTAGAATTGAACATTATATTTTGTTGATAGTAAAGTTGAACACTGTATATTGTTGATAGTAAAGTTGAACACTAAATTTTGTTATTAGAATTGAACATTATATTTTGTTGATAGTAAAGTTGAACACTATATTGTGTTTATTGTATCACACAGTGGGACTACCTCCACGCACATTTGTCAGAACAGTAAAGAGAAAATCTGGGAATTTGTTTTATCTGAGAGTTTAACAACATCTGACAATGAATACTTTAATAAAATAAACCGGGAGTGATCTCCCCTAAACTTTCTCGAATATTCTAATATAACACTACGTGGGATGGCAACTCGGAATATAGACATGATTTTTGCTTATTTAAACTTTTAAAAATAGAATAAAATCTAGTAGAAAAAAGAATTGCGCACCAAGTGAACGCCAAAGCAAAAAGCGCATAATAGTGCGCAATATTATTAGTTCTTTATAAATTTAAATGCGTTTTTTGAGAAATCGGAAATAGCGTAAATTAGTACTTCCGGTCAACGGAAATTACTCAAAATTTAAAAGAAGGTAGAAAATTAGATCTTTTACTTACATGTGAAATTTCATTTATCTATCTGAAATAGTACTCAAGTTATAGGCTTTTGAAAAATTCAAAGTAGAAAAAGTACCACTTCCGGTTGTCGGAAATCGCTCAAAAGTTGATACGGATCTACGATTTTGATATAATACCTATATATGAAATTTCATCAACCTAGCTATAACGGTACTCATGTAATCGTGTTTACACACACACAGACAGACAGACAGACACACACACACACACACACACACACACACACACAGACATACGGACAAGATTTCAAAATTATGTTTTTCCGTATCAGTGAGGTGTAAAATGTCGAGATTTGTAAAAATCTCGATTTTTTTTTTGCTCGATTACAATACTTTATACTTCGTATATACGAGAAAGTAAAAATAACAACACAACTCATTGTATCTACTGACTAAGGATCATCAATAATTAGTTTGGTCCAACACAAAGCATTGACAAACAAAGACATTCTGGTTTGAGAGTTCAAATGACTTCAAAGCTCAGTTACACATTAGACAAACAATAGACAATAGACATTCTAGGGGATCTAACCACGTCTGTTTCAGGTCATTTACATTGATTAGATTGTTCGGGTATGTACTGTTATTCATTAGTTAACACACGTAAACTTATATATATATATATATATATATATATATATATATATATATATATATATATATATATATATATATATCATCCTAATAGCTTTAACGAAGTAATTATCAGCAGAGAGCAGGCAGAGTTTATGGCGAACGACTTTGCAGTCAAGCACATCACAGAATACTAATACCAGGCTTGGGACAGACGACCAAGTTAAACATCGTTAGGCTCTCTAAAGACGAAAGTTTAACCACAGTGTCACTCCCCCCTCCCTAAAGACCACATCCCCCACCAGGGAGCACACCCCAGTGTTGAAGGGTTACGCCCCCTATGATTGTGTAGCCGGCCCTGTGGTCAAACGCTGATCAAAGCGTCACAATGGTCTCAAACTACTGGCCAGCGTCGACGACAAATGGCGGGAATATTGAATGACTCACGTGACCACGGGGTTGAGTCATGTGACCAGGAACAACTTCCGGTTTAAAGGAGGATTAGAACAGGTTGGGGGGATAGTCAGAAAGAATCATATTCTTGAGATCGATGATTGTGTGAGTGCGTTCACGATCATTAATTCAACCCTCGGACAGGTAATATGGCCTTGTGACGCTATATTTATGTAGGTCAAGGTCATGGTGAGTAGAGCCGCCTAATCCAATGATGTCATTGTGACGTCATCTTACAGTACATCAAATGACTGCACCTGCACAAACATTATTCACGAAATTTATTGCAGTAACGTCACTAGGGCATTAAGCTATGTTGATCAAGGTAAATAGCAACATAGTTACGTATTCTCTACCTTAATCTACAACGCTAATCGCAATGCCACACATTTATGGAAACTCTACCACAGTGTATATCACATATACTGTGTCACATATTTACTAAACCTTCATTAGTCCACTAAATGCTGATGATGTTCACTGAAGCGTGCTGTTGATTGTCCAACCACGTTATAAAATAACTCGACCATATGACACCAATTGGGTAACAGGTTTATATCAGACATTAATATGCCTTAATCCTAGAGATAATTATAATCCCACTTATTTTAACCCCCTATATGTGGCCATTGTTGACTTGTCAGCAATAATGACATAAAGGTGTTTAATTACTGATCAGCCTTTTGATACTGTATAATATTAATAGTATTTACAGTTAATTACAGTTAATTACATTTAGAAATGTACGCAATCAATCATCAACCTGCTAATTAAATAAACTATAAACTTTTTTAAAAAATTAAACTTTTCATTACCAATATTTAATTACCAGG